TTATCTACTAGTTTCCTAAAGTCTAAATCTAGTTCCCAGATTGAGGAAGGATGTGATGGTCTCTTTTTTATTGCTGTTTTTCGTAATTGAGGTGTTAGAGTCGTCATTAGGATTTCTGTCTTCTTTGTATTTTTATAATCATGAGTATTGAGTGAGTATGCTTTTCGGACTAGTGCTTCAATTCTTACTGCAAATTGTTTTATTGTTTCATTTGGTAGTCTACGAATTTTATTGCATTAAACTCTTTGATGTTACTTGTTTATTTCTGAATCAAACAATTTTGACAATTCTTGTGTGAATCTTTTCCATTCTGATTTTATTTCTTCAGGTAAAACTGAAACCATTTTTGGGCTGCACCGCCAAGTGTAGTTTGAATTAAAGCTGTGCGTCTATGTATCCAATTTTCATGAAGTGGCGTGGTATCTGTGCCTGTGAAAACCATTAGTGGTTTATTTAAAGTTATTGATGATCCACCCATTAGGTATAGATTCATAGTCATTAGTAGTGATTCTGCGGCAAGTGGCATTTGAGAAAAATTTGTTTGTTGGCTTTTTTTGTTAATTCGTGTTGTTGGATTTAATAATATGGCAGTTGGACTTCGTTTTGCATTTGAGTTGGTTGGTATGATTGTGTGTTGACTGGATTTTGTTGTTGAAAGTTATTGTTGTTTGATGTTGGGTTATTTCTAGGTTGTCGTTTTTCTTCTTTTCGTGTGTGTGCGTGGTTCAAAAATGTCTTTTTGCTCAATGCTGTAAGTACGAGGTCTTTGGTTGGAGTAAAATCGTCATAGTATTCTTCGTCATCTGATGGAAAATAATTTTGTGCATAATAATGAGGTTGATTTTTAGTATTATATTATTTTGATTATTTTTATTTTGTTGAAAAAATGGGTAATTTGTATTTAGTTCTTGGGACGATCGTGGTTGATCATGAAAATTTACTGTGTCTGAAGTCGGTTGCGGTAAATTTTGATTTTGTGCAATTATTTGAGTTTTTGTTTTAGGTTTTGTTGTTTTTGTTCCATTTACATAATTGTAATTATGTTCTGCAAAATTATTTCTTTACGATGTTTCTTGTTGTATGATGTTTTTGTTACTGGTCGAAACATTTGGTAATCCATGTGTGAACATTTTTGTGCAACAGAAGGTTTTACTGTTGACTGTATGATTGTTTGTTGTAACGTTGATTTTTTTTTTAATTTTGGAGTTGTAAAATTTGGTTGAATGGGTGAAATACTTGTGTATTATGTTTGTTTGTTTGTTTCGTAAATTGTTTCAGGACATAAGGTTTAGGATGATGGATACAAAATCTGGACTAGTGATGTATATGCCTTAAACTGTTAGTTCTTACAATTTTTGTGGTTGGCTTAACTTGGGTCGTATATTTGGCTTGAAAAGCGTATATCGATTCAGAAGAATGATTTGTACTTTCTCGTGACTAGCTCTAAGCTAAGATTGACCTACCTAAACTTACTTAGGGGTTTTGATTTGTGATCAAGGGTTGGAGAATATTAAATCGATCCACAAGGTTCAGGTATAATTAGAACGCGAGTAGTTCGTTTGATACTATTTTTTGACTTACTAAGTTTAAGTGTTCTAGCCTGGGTCATCTAAGAGGAAGGGGATCAAGTGAAGGATAAGTAACCGAATTTCTTCACTGTTTTTCTTAATTAGAAAGGTTAGTTTGTTGAAAAACTTCTGTTAATTCTATGTCTTTGATAAGGGTTGGGTAGTGAATCGACGTTTGAGGTTGTTAAACACTGATTGAATTGGGAAGGGTAGAATAAAAATGTTCTTTTTGTTCCAAGGATGGGCCTTTATGATCCAAGTCTTGAATATTTAGAAACATGAAAATTTAAATTTATTTTAATTTTAAGATCCGCGGAATTTAAAGCCTTGATGATCTGTTATTTAAATGAAAATAATTTAAGTGAAAGCAAGGATAAGCCTTGATAGTTTAAAATTAAAGAGTTTTCGTTTTGATGATTGTTAGTTTTTGAAATTTGCTGTTATGTTTTAGGTGATAAAGCTGAGATGATGAGATAATTTATCTATGCAAAACAATTTATGAAATATGCTTACTAATTTTTCTATTTTTTTATTCAATAAATTTTTTTCAAGATGTTATTCAATTTACAGCTGATTTAAGGAAAACGACAAGTGTTGGTTTTATCAGTCGTTTTTGTACAATTAGTAGGTTTAGCGCCATGAAATGTTATTGAAGATTATTAAGTCAGTAAATGAAAATATAAAATTTACTGCTGAAGTAATCTAAATAAAACAGTTTGATCTCGTTTTTGTCGTACTATCATGAAATCGATTAATAGATTTCTTCCTAGTCGTATGTCGTTTCTTGTTCGACGTCTTCTTCCAATACCGGGTAGTTCTCGTATTGTTCGGAACATTGGATCTGATCTATTGAAACGTAGACACATATCTATTAAGATCATATAAAGTTTTTATGAAATGTTGTAATTGTCTAATTCTAATCTAATTTTTTGTCTAATTCTGGGTTAGTTAAGGTCTGTTCGAGACGCTTGGGCGCAACAGATGAGTTATGTACTATGTACTGTGCCCATAGAGTAATTTCAGATAGGGTACACCGTCTGCTCGTCACGCTATCTTATTTTCGGCCGGATAGATCCGTGCAACTTCTTTGTCAAATACCGATATTAATCTTACTCTTATATCTCCTAGTCTCAATAGATCTAGTGTTTACCGGTATATGCGAGTTAGTTCCAGAATGAGAACATTTGTATTCTAAGTTTAATTCAAATTGCTCTGGTGTTGAAACTACAAGTAATTTTAACACTTTACAAATAAATAGGTTGTTAGTTTGATGGAGTATGATTGGTTAGTATTTAATATTTTATCGAGATAAAATATCATAATAATAACCAATGATAAATACTAGTTTATATCTGATTCCATTGGGTTGTTTTTCAATTCAAACCAATTTTATGAAACTTGAGAGCGTTTTTGCATCGATCCGGGAATCTGTGGGTTGCCAAGCAGGTGCTTCCACAAGACTAAATTGCGGATGATGGCAACGCTGCTCGAATAATACTTTGATAGTTTCAGAACGCAAATTGTTTCTGCTTATCAAGTTATCCGCACTCATGATCATTCCAAACCGATTTGAGGGTCAGCACTTGGTCAGCACAAATATTAGCACTTGGCTTTGATCTTGACAGTACACAAATTTTGGAGCAAAAACTATTCGAGACCAGTTACAGGGCAGTCGGAACATTCAGGGTTATGCCTTGAAATACAAGCAGTCTGTTAAAAGCTCTAACTGTCCCAAACTGGCCGATTTGAAAGCTGCGTAACAAGAAAGTAAAAACTGAAAGCAGGGTAACGGCTTTTGAAACTCTAAGCACAAGCATCATTTTCTTTCACGTGGTAGGAAATTGTTTCCGCGTATCAAATTATCCGCCCTCATGATCGTTCCAAACTGAAATGAGGGCCAAGTCTATTTGATCAAATTAACTATACTCAAATGTTAGCACTTGAGTAGGAAGAAATGCTGCACTGACTAATCTGAAGATTTTTTAGTTTCTCCGGGACGAGGTGTTTGACCTATTTTTAGGCTTTGAAAGTCGGGCAAGTGCAGTTTTCCGACTGACCTTCAGCGGTCGAGAGGCAGTTTTAGGTCGAGTGCAAGGTCGAAATATGCCCAATTTTGGCCGAGAAACAGTTTTAAGCTAAATGATTAGTTTCCCAGTTCAACTGTAATTAGCTTATTTTTTACGCGATGATAGCTTGAATCGGATGGTATCAGCACTAGGAAAAAAACACTCATTAGACCGGAAGTGAGTGATTTACGCAGAACTTATTTTAAGATGGCAATAGACGCTAGAATCCAACCCCAAAAAATGACACCAGTGACCCCCAGTCGAAACATAAGTGAAGCACAGTCAAAACATACCTAATTTCGATCGAGAAAGTCGAAACATACGTCGAACACAGTCGAAACAAAGGTCGAGCACAGTCGAAACAAAAGTCTAGTACAGTCAAAACATATGTAGAACACAATCAAAAGATCGTTCGAGCACAGTCGAAACATAGCTCGAGCTGATTTTATTGCAATTTTTGGTACCTTTTCCACAAATCGACAGTACCAAAGAAATTCTAACAAAAAAGAGAAAAACTCTATAGAGACGCAGTAGAAATTGTCTCAATATGTGAGCTATTTGATTGATATTGAAAACTATAAAATGCTAAACCAATAAATTCAAACTTTCAGGTCCAAAAATTGAAATAAAAGCTTAAACCACATGAGTTGTCACTGTCAGATCAAACCGGTTTTTGAACAGTTTTTTGGAGCAACCGCAGCCGACAAAAAATGAGAATGATTTTATCGGTTTGTCAAGAAAAACGAGACAGTCGAAATATAACCATTTTTAGTCAAGAAAGTCGAAACATGTTTCTGCGGGTCGAACAAATAAGAGGTTTTAAAATTTCGGTCGAGACATTCGAGAAAGTCGAAACATATCGGATTCTGGTCGAGATGTCGAAACACATTTGAAATGGGTCGAACAAAGTCGAACACTTTTTTTGGTCGAGAAAATCGAAACATACCAATTTTTGGTCGTGAAATTTGATACATCGACCCGAGTTTTTTCACTATACGCATAAATGTTGATTAACCACTCGGAGAAGAAATGTATGTTCATAAAAGCATCAAAACTTGGGCAAAGTTTTTCTAAGCAATTTAGCCGCATAGTTCATTTTCAGGTGTCAGCGGTTTGGAATTGTTTTGGAACTGGTATCTCCAAAGCCTGAGTTCAATTCGGCCAACAGGCATATTGCTGAAATTGGGATAAAGTTTAATAGGCATCAAAAGTCGATCCAATACCCACTTTGGGTAATTGCTGATATGTTCCCAATTCCACTGAAATCAAACCAAATTGATGGCTAATGTAAATTGGAAAATTGGTTCTCACCTGGTCAACAATTATATGTATTAATATAAAAATCAATTTATTCCAACTCTTCTGACAATTCGATTTTAATTGAGTGGCTGTACAGTTTAGCGGTCGAAATTAAAAACGCATCTGTCTACAATTTTATTGAGTCAGAAATAATTATTTCGTGAAAATCAAAACACTGTGGCTACTGCGCTTCCGCTCATTTTTAATTTCAGAGTTTTTCCGGTAAAAGGAAAAACAGAATAAGGCGATAATGAATCGTCTTCTGCGATTCGGTAAGTAGCATTTTTTTTACTCCAAAATAAGCCATAGTTTTAGAGAGATAGTCGTCTTTCGAAATTGAGGCAACATAGTTTTATTAAGAAAAGAACCGCAGCAACCCTTCCTGTTGACCGGCCCCCATCCCCTCAATTACGTTTGCCGTTTTCCACTAACGTCTTTGTAAAAATTTCGGAGAGCTTGTAAAATCACATTGTTCAAACAAAAACAAAGTTGGCCTAAGAAAGTATAGATCCAAGAAAAAAATATATTTTTTCGGAACCCCCACCCTTTTTTTGAAAGAGGTGTTGAACAGTGCCGAATTACAACAGTGCCGAGAATGGAAAAGTATTCAATAGTGTCGAAAATCACTAATTTTCGGCATTATTGAACACTTTTTCAATTTCGGCACCCTTGTACATCGGCACTGTTGTTGTTGTTGTTGTTGTTGTTGTTGTTGTTGTTGTTGTTGTTGTTGTTGTTGTTGTTGTTGTTGTTGTTGTTGTTGTTGTTGTTGTTGTTGTTCTATTGTGGGAGCCAAGGAGTTCTTATAAGGTCCTTCTTGCCAGCTCTACGGCACCCTTTGGGTCAGAGGTGAGGATGTTTAGCCCCACGTCGGTCGTTCCGAAAATGTATTGTCGTGCTGCTACGGTCCCTGGACATTCAAGTATCCAGTGTTCATTTGTTTGAGAATTTTCCCGGCATAGCAGGCAGGTTGGGTCCGCCGTAAGATCCATGAGATTTTTGTGTGCGGCTAGTTTTTCACAGTGTCCTGCTCGAAGTCTTGCCAGTACAACCGTGTCTTTTCGGTTCTTGATGATGTCCCTGTCTCTTTTATCGGAGAGATGCTCGTATGTCAGTCTTGTGCGGTGGTGTATTGGCGATGGATCTCTGGTTTTGCGTTTGATCCAGGCCTTTTCGAGTTTCATGGAGGTTGGTTTCGGCGGTTCCCCGGTCATGTCGGTAGCTTTGGCCGCTTGGTCTGTCCAATTGTTTCCAGGTATTCCAATACGGACTGGTATCCATTGAGTCGCAACTTTGCTCGTTAGGTGGTCTAATCGTCCTCTTAAGTGTTTCGTATCTTACTGCTGTTTGCAGGGGCTGATGCTAGAGATTGGCTATCCGTGCATGCAAATCGCAGGGTTTTTGGCGATCCAATCTATTGCAAGGCGCAAAGTCTCCTTTTCTTTTGCGAATGACGAGGTTATGTTCCTTCCTCTGGTTTTGACTATGGTGGCAATAGTAGGATTCCTTGGGTCTCCCGTGGTAACTACCATCCCGGTTTTCCTTTCTAGTCCCTTGTGAAGCAGAACCGTCTGTATATATTACCTTCTTCGATCAGCTTTGTTGTATCTTCTATGGTAATGTCTTCCCGGTTTTTGCCCTCGAAAAGCAGTGATATTGTCCATATGTTAGATTTCAGATTCTGGTATGTGAATGTGATATCCAAACTGATATTTCAAGCTACTCAAAAACTCATGAGATTTTAAAAATCCAAAACAATAACGTTTTCATAGTTATCGTAAAGCTCTGTTTGCTTTATGGTCTATGTTTATAATAAATTTGTTTTCAGCTCCAGGCTGTTTATACTATAATTGGGAAAGAAACAGGGTTTCTTGCATCTAAAGAATGATTTATTTTTCAATTAAAATTACCTTTTCTTCAATTGATGACAACTTGGGATCCTTTGAGAATCAAGTTTAACTAGTTTAAAACTAGTTATTTAAATCATCTGTTAATTCCCTGTAAACTAATTATTACTAGCAAATCATGATTAATGACTAAACTTTACACTAGACTTGTAAACCTGAAAACCTAGTTGTGCAGAGATTTAAAAATAAAGATTTTTATCAATTGCTTTTGTTTTCTCCTCTAACATCGCAGTAAAACAGTATAACTCTATTGAGACTTGCAAGATCTATTGAGACTAGGAAGTATAGGAACAAGAAAAGTTGTGCGAACCTATTCGTACGAAAATAGTTAGCGTGGCAACAGACGGCGTACACTATCCAAAATTAATTTGTGAGACGGCCAACGCAGACCTAAACCCATCTGGTGTGACCAACAAGTCTCAGGCAGACCCAAAATTAACTTAGTTTAGGCAAATATTGTACAAATAGGAGAAAAAGGGACAAATTAGCTTCCACGTCTTAATAATTCTTATAAAGCCAAGCCACTTTTCAAAAAAAACTTCCATCACAAAGCGACAGAAACCAAATCTGCATCGCAAAGCACAAATTAACAGAAACGACCAGATCAGACCAAAAAACTATTTGTGCAGCAAAAACTAACTATACTATATTAACTGCATCAAACTGTGCCGTAAAACTAAGAATTCAAAACCTTAAAAATTCAATTGAAAAAAGAATATCCTTGAATTAAAGTAGCCATCACTATCGAATAGATAAATACCCTTTAAAAATTATCTGCCCCAGAACTTTAGGTATGCAGTAAATTTTCTAAATAATTTAATTTCATTTTTATAATCTAAGTACAGAACAAACAAAAACATAAAATAAAAACAATTTTTATCTCATTGACTTTGGACATCAGCTTTTCTTGACTTCTTGTCATCTCTCTCTTTTATCTAAAGCATTCAGAAAGAGTTATTTAATAACTAAATCAAAAAAAAATTCAAATTATTTTGAATTTTAAATTCAAATTATTTTAGAGTTATTTAATAACTAAATCAAAAAAATTTCAAATTAATTTCTCTTTGGCTCTGCATCTTTAAAAAAATTGTATATTTTTTCCAAAAAACATTATTTTTGAGGCTTCTCCTCGGATCTTTCGGTTTAGAAGACCTTTTTTTTTATCATTTGAACAACAAATCATCAACGCCTGTCCTTGCAGCTCTTATCTTAAAAATTGTTACTTACTTCTTTTTTAAAACTGCATCATCAAAGCTTGGCTTTGATCTATCAGTTTTAAACCTCTTATATTCAACCCGTTCCTTTAATTAGGTGTCTAACGACCCATGGTGTCAAATCGATTCCCAATCTTTTAAACTACCCAGGACTAACTCACTAACAAATTAACTAAACTTCGATTTTTAAAATTCACCATTCAAATCAGGCTAAACAGTGAAAAACTTTGGGTACTCATTCTAAATTTGATCCCTACCTCTTGTTTGACTTGAGCTTGAAACAAAATTAGGTTTAGTAAGCTCTAAAAAATTATCTTACGATTTACTGGTGTTGTAATTATCCCTGTGGATTGATTTACTATTCTCCGACCCATTTGAAGATACTCCCAGCCTTATTACTGAAAATCAACTTGAGCATGATAAGATAAGTTTATACAACAACTAAAAAGCCAATTTTTCAAAGTTAACTCACAATTTTTATTTGACCGATTCACTTATTCCGATTCTCTATCAGATAACACTTCCAGCACTGATAGTACACGCAGAGCCGCACGTATTCTTAATAAACCGAAAAACTCAATTAAACGTCCCCAGAGACTTACAAACATGCACGTCTACATCACGACTATAACGAAGTGATCGCCCACAACACGCTAACGTGCACGAAATTTCTATTTACTCTCTCCGCTTTTTCCCACAGTATAGCTACGATAAAAGGGAAACACAAAGCCAACGCGACCTTCACGTTTTGCTTCGTATAACTTTACTTGTCCCTAATATCCCTACTCAAAACTGGACAATGAAAATCACAACGCCGTCATTATTCGCCAACTAACTTCTCGGCGAGTTCTTTACTGTCGTTTTATCACAAATACTGAGTCGATGCATTAAACGAAAATTCATATATTTTCCTATCGCTTATTATGATCACAACTTCACAGATAACAATGATTAAGGACCAGAAGTTCTGCCCAGAAATTAAGCCACAACTACCAGACCAATTTGTTATCAAGACAGACTTTACTTTATCTTTGACCTCTACCTCACTGATAAACAATTAGATCCCGTCATTGATCACGTACTAAAAATAAAAAGCTTTGGAAGACTATTTTAGCCGCTTTGATAAATTTCAATTAACCTTCAATTTTTGACACTCAGACAAAGAGATGTATATTGCACACATAAACTATTGTTTTAAGACAAAACTTAAACTGACATTCACTACTTTGACCACCGACACTTCATGCAACATTCACTATCACGTTACCCACGCTTCCATAACTTGTTTAATAAATCCAATTAAACATCTCCTTAATTTTTAAATTTCACCTTCTATATCGAAAGCACTAAAGTGCATGGCAGTCTTTGCAACTACAATTCCGTCCGCCAAGTGTTTTGTGCCCCTAAAATTTTTTAGTCCACTGACGAAACTCAATTCATGATCATCTCACTGAAATTCATCGAACTTATCGAAATCCCACTATAAGAACTGATCCAGGGCACAAAATTCAATCACAAGCTTTATAACCTGATTAATTATTCTAGAGGTATTTAGAGTATTCTTGCGAATTTTTATTTTCGCAAGAAGAACTGGAGATTAACAACGCACCTGAGCTTCTTTGGCTATTACAAAACACAAAAAGTCATTCTATATTTGCAAATCTTCTCTCCATTGCTAATGTTTTTCTCAAGGATTTCTTCGCAAAACCTCGTGAGTATAGAATCAAAACTCTATAAAATTTATTATTTAGAAAATTTTTTACTCACCATTTTATATTGAAATGTTTCGTTGATTTAAAAAAAATCATTAGCTCATCAAATAACGTAAACCAGTACAAAATAGAAGCAATTTATCATCACTCAATTAAATGGCGCTAACCTATTGCAGTATAATACAATACGTTCGATAGAACCATCATTAAACAAACAAAATTATCAACTTAATGCAAAAAGTTTAAAAAACAAGCAATAAATTAAGTGTTTGAGTTAAAAATTCCAACTAAAGTAACCTTTTTTCGCCTGATTTTTTTTACTCTCCAACTAGTCCCTTTGCTTGCTCAGTTTGAATGAACTATTCAAAATTCTTTCTAGCTTCACATATCTAAAAATAATAATTAAAGGATATTCAAAAATTGCTAACTGCTGATAACA